CATAATGATCACATAAATATCCATTATTCTGTTGATTTTCAGAAATTGTTTCTCTTCTCCGTGACTTATTGCTAAGGTTTCCTTTTTTTTTTTTTTTTTTCTATATGCCTCAGAATGAAGGACAGCTGAGGCATATTCATTATTTGGGACATCTTTACTTCCCTTTTATTATTCCATTCACTGTTTTTAGACCTTAGCTGATTTTTTAAAAAGTGTATTGAAAAGTAACTGACATACAATATTATATTAGTTTCAGCCATGTAACATAATGATTCAGCAATTCTGTACTTTACTCAGTTCTCAGTACACATTATCCATACAACATCCTTCACCATATAACTTTATCACAATATTATTAACCATATTCCTTCTGCTGTACTTTTCATCTTCAGGACTTACTTTATAATTGGAAGTTTGTACCTCTTAATTCCCTTTCTCTATTTTGCCCCATCCCCCACCCACCTCCCTTCTGGCAATACCAGTTTGTTCTCTGTATCTATGAGACTGTTTTGCTTTTTGTTTGTTCTTTTGTTTTGTTTGTTTGGTTATATGTTTTGTTTTTTAGATTCCAGATATAAGTGAAATCATATGGTATTTATCTTTCTCTACCTGACTTATTTCATTTAGCATAATACCCTCTAGTTCCATCTATGTTGTCCCACATGGCAAAATCTCATTTTTTTATGGCTGAGTAATATACCAGTGTGTGTGTGTATTTCCCATCTTTTTTTATCCACTTATCTACTGATTGATGCTTGAGTTGATTCCATATCTTGGCTATCATAAATAATGCTGCAGGGGAAATTGGGTGGCTCAGTCAGTTAAGTGTCTAACTCTTGATTTTGGCTTAGGTCATGATCTCAGGGTCATGTGGTACGGTCCCACATCAGGCTCCCTGCTCAGCTGGGAGTCTGCTTGGGATTCTCTCTCTCCCTCTCCCATTGCCCTCCCCCTGCTTGTGCAGTCTCTGTCTCTAAAATAAATAAATAAATCTTTAAGAAAATAAATAATGCTGCAGTAGGTGTGCATTTATCTTTTTGAATTACTGCTCTTGGTTTCTTTGAATAAATACCCAGTGGTAGAGTTTTTGGATCATACAGTGTGTCAATTTTGGGTTTTTTTTTTTTTTTTTTTTTTCAAGAATCTCCATACTGTTTTCCATAGTGGTTGCAACAATTTATGTTTCCAACAGCAGTACAGGAGGATTCTGTTTTCCCAACATTTTCACCAACACTTGTTATTTCTTGTCTTTTTGATACTAGTCATTCTGAATGGTGAGAGCTGATATCCCTGATAAATAGTGATGTGGAGCATCTTTTCACGTGTCTGTGGGCCGTCTGGTATGTCTTCCTTGGAAAAATGTCTGTTTAAGTCCTCTGGCCCATTTTTTAAATTGGATTGGGTTTTTACGGTGTTGAGTTGTATAAGTTCTGTATGTATTTTGGATACTAACTCCTTATTGGATATATCATTTTCAAATATCTTCTCCATTCACTTTTTTTTAAGTTATAATTTCTCTATTACTTATTGTCCTAACTTGCATTTATTACATTAACTCTTGATGAAATTTAAAGATATTAAAACTTGAGTGCAATTAAATTTCAGCTAAATTTAAGAGCTCTGTCATTTTTTTTTAGACTTTATTTATTTGTTTGACAGAGAGAGAGATCACAAGTAAGCAGAGAGGCAGGCAAAGAGAGGGAAGCAGGCTCCCCGCTGAGCAGAGAGCAATGTGGGGCTCGATCCCAGGACCCTGAGATCACGACCTGAGCAGAAGGCAGAGGTTTAACCCACTGAGCCACCCAGGCACCCCAAGAGCTCTGTCATTTACATGAAGCTCTTAACCAGGTATTTTTAGATTAGTGTATTATCATTTTCCATTCTGTAATAATTAATGAGACTTATTTTTATTGACTTAGTTATTCATTGTTTTTTTAACTTTAGTATCTTTGAGAGCAGTGCCACTTGTTCCAGCCTCTAGATAATAAAAACTAAATATTGATAGTAATATTACCTTAAGTAAGCAAATGCTTCCTATTTTTGAAAATTGTTCTTGTTCACCTATAGTCTTTTTCCTACATAGTCTCTCTTTTCCTTTTTAAAGATAACTCTATTTTCCCTCATAGAGATCTAGATAAATGCTTTCACTTAATCTAGTAAGAAGCTTAATGTACTAACATATGAGAAATATTTTCTAGAGAAGAAATTGAAACTTTGCTAAAACATGGGAGGAAGAGGCTATTTCTTTCTTGCCCACAGTAGAATATTACCTTTAAACATATTTCTTGGAACATACCAGTTAGTTCACTAAGTATTTGTGGAATATGTGAGTGGTATCCCAGAGGAATGAAACAATAATATTATTCTTAGTCTCTTTCTTCATTAGCAGCATTTAAGGCAACAGTGGAAATTTAAAATGTAATACAGTTTTTTTCTCCCAACTATGATGGAGTTGTTTGATGTGGACTCACAGTTCATTCCAAGAATATGTAGAGAAAACTAAATTTAGAAGAAGAAGAAGGTGGGGCGGAGAGAAGGAAGAGAAAGAGGAAGAGGAAACAATCTATTTGATGGCATTGGAGAGACAAAGAAGAAACTAGCATGTCACCTTTGACACATACTAGACACTAATGTTTGTCTCTTGAGTACCACGTGATTGCTTTAAATTCACCTCTGTTTTTAGTGGTCACCTTTTAGATCTCAGAATCTGAGCAGATTAATAATGCAACAAATATTTTTAGGGGAAAGGTGAAGAACCTTAAGATTTTTTCTTACGCATCTTTCACTTTGAGATCATAGTCCCATACTTCTTGGATGATTTGCATAACCTTAATTGTATTTATGCTTTTCTCTCATTAATGTGGTTACCATCTTTAGTATTTGCCTCTTTCTGTATTGGGGAAGGGGTTAACTTAATGTTCACCTTGTAGTTCTTGAAATGAGTACACAGATGAGCAATTATTGACCTTTAATTTATAATCAATTCATATATACATCACTAGCAGTTTTCATTTCTTCACTACATTTTCATTTCCACTCTCAGATTCCTTCCTTAGAGTGTCTATTTTTGTAAAATGTCACATGAGTTTATCACTGGTAAACAAGGAAGTTACGTGACTACATACTTTGAGTTCTCTTCTTAATCTGAGTAGCAGATGCATGGTGACCAGACACTGATAGACTTTGAAAGAAGCAATGTGTCTGTGTTAGTGATCATGATCCACATTTCTTATTTGTGTAGTGATTTGTGGATTGAAGGGCTACTGGAGAAGTTCATAATTTATATAATTACACATAGTAGATGTACCATGTGAATTGAAATGTGAATCATATTTTTGGGAGTTCCTTGTATTATTGAACTAAACATGTAACTAAAATTTGTGCTTATCAGAATCATGTGAAACAAGAATTTACAGTGACTTTATTAGATACCAGTAAGATAAATATTAAAGCCACGATGTGATACCACTATACACTTACAGGAATAGCTGTGGTAGGCAGAATTCTAAGCTGACACACAAATCTAACCATTGTATAATTTCTTCCCCTGGAAAGATAGGACATCACTACTGTAATTATGTAATGCTCCATGGCAAAAGGGACTCTATGTTAAGATTACTGCTCAGTTGACTTTGAGCCAGTCAAATAGGAGATCATCTGATGGGCCTAACTTCATTGTTGTTAGCAGCAGAATAAATCAGAATATGAAATTTGAACAATGAGAGGGTTTCAGTGTGAAGGATATTCTTCATTGCTGAGATAGGCCATTGACCACTGACTGCTTCGAGTCTCAGAGTGGTCACTGGCCAATAGCTAGTAAGAAAAAAAGAAGACCTGATTCCTACTACTCCAAGAAACTAAATTTTGCTAGCAACCTCAATGAGCTTAAAGTGGATTCTCCCCACCCCCCCGCAAGACTCTAGATAAGAGCATGGCCTGGCTGCGAACCTGATATTGGCCTTGTGGGACCCTAATTAGAGAACTCAACTGAGCTCATTAGACTTCTTACCTATAGAACTATGAGATCACAATTTGGGTGCTGTTAATTTGTCATGCAGTAATAAAAAATTCATATAATATTGAAATTTTAAAAACCGGCCAAACTAAGTGTCTCTACAGACATGGAACAACTAACACTCTTCTTCTGCTTTGGGGAATGCAAATTAATGCAATCAGTTCAGAAACCTGTTTAGCAATATCTACTAAAGCTGAAGGTGAAATATATGGACATAAGAGCAGTTCCTAGATATTTTTTCCATACAAATTTATTTACACACCAAAAGAAAACAAAAGTACAGATGTGTTCATAGACATTTCAAAATAGTCTCAGACCAGCACAGTATAAGTGTCCAGCACCAATAAAATGGACAAGTAAATTGTGGTATATTCATTCAGTGGACTGCTATGCAGCTCTGAGAATGAACAGAGTGCTGCTGCACATGAAGGGGTCTTACGAATGTATACTGAAGTAAGCCACACAGAAAACCGTGCACACACAGGAGAGTTCATTTCCTTCATACAAAGGTCAGAAATAGTCCAACCCAGTCTATGGTTATTTAAGTAATAATAATGGTTAAGTTTGGAGGCTACAAGTGATTGGGAAGGGGTACCACAGGGGAATTTTAGAGTGTTGGTAATGCTTATTGATCATAATGCTAATCAGACAGGTGTGTTCATTTTGCAAAGATTCATTTAATGTATATGATTTATACACTTCTTATCTTCAATGAAAAGCTTTTTTTTTTTTTTTTTAAATGAAGGACTATAAAGTATTGCCAACACCTTTTCCACTGTGTGGCTTAAAAAAAGAAAAATTGCCTAGGGTCATTCAGCTAGCGAGTGGAAAGACAGAGTGGAAACTGATAATTAAGGATAATTTAATGGTAATTAATGTCTTAGCTGAATTATCTCTTTCGTTTGAAAATTTAAAAAAGAGAAAAAGGGAAAGTGAGGCTAATCAATAAATAATTTTGACATTTACAATTTTTTTAATAAAACAGTGTGCCGGGAGGATTCATACCATTCCGTAGTTTCATGTGCTGCTGTGGTTCTCACTCCTATGGAACCAACGATAGAAATGAAGAAAAGAGAAGAACTAAAATTTCCTGAACCTGCCAAACAGTAAGTTATTTGTCTGATTTTTCAGAACTTTGTAAACTAGGTAAATAACTAATCAGAATTAGATAGCTCAGAAATGATGATTTATAATGAATGTATGAATACTAGTGAATACTAGTATATTAAAAGGACAGATAATTTTGTACTATATACCATTCAAGTTTCATTCTGTTACCTTATCTTAGTGACACGAAGCACTTTATTTCTGTAATACTGTGATTGTGGGTGCACTGTTCTTGGATGGCTTATTTTATAGTCATAAGCTTTAATCATCTAAAATATCTGTTTTTAATATAAACTTCTTAGCTTAAAGTTGGCTTGCATTTTACAAGGAATAAAAGTTGTTATTTGTAACTATTTTAAATAAATCACTCTAAATTAGAACTTCACAGTATTTAATGTTTCTGTATTTTTGCTATTTAAACAGATAAAGTTTCACTTAAATTTAGATTTGATCCTATATTGAATAAGTGATAGATTTCTTTCTTACAAAGCAATTCATAGTAACAAATGTAAACTACATGAACCTGAAATATCAAATAATTAGAATATTTCTAGGTATGCATTATATAAAGGCAAAAGGAAACCTTACTGATATTTTCCAGTGAAGCTAGTGCCATTCCCACTTTAAGGTCTCACACTGGAGGCTAAGTGATGTATGGTGTTGCCAATGATTGCTGGCTAACCACCATCTGAGCCATGTGGTAGTTACCTTGAAGCACATACTATTTTTCCCCATTGGTTTACACTGTATCATACTTGTTTGTTTCCGATATATTTTATCAGCTAAGCTCCCGAGGACAGAATTTCCTGGAATATGATAGTGCCTGATACTCTTTGTGAAATCAATTAAAAAATCCCTTATTGTTACATTCAATAATGTTGAATTCAAATGGAGCAATGTATATATTTGATAGCATGAAGATAGTATTAATATTCTCATATAGAGAAAAAAAGTACTAACCAATTCAGAAAGTAATGATTGTAATTCAGTTTTATAACAATTTAAAAGTGAAAACAATTTAGCTGCTCTTAATATAGTCTTAATTTTTAGGTTCCAATTTTTTTGTCTAATAGGAGGAAAATTACATCTCATATATGCCGATTGAATTATATTAGAAAACTCAAATGCATTTTCTTCAGTACGAGTTTACATAAGTTACCTATATATTTATAAATAGGATCTTAAATTATTTTAATTATCTTTTAGTGATTCTGCTTAAAACTGGAAACAGTGTTATTTTCTTGCACAAAATACCTTTTTTCAGTCCTAAGCTACTTCATAAATATTCATTCTTCTTTATTCTGGGATGTATATCAAACCCGACTATTAATGGGCTGTTCTTTTTTTTTTTTTTCTTTCTGTTACCCTACATATACTGTGTTACTCTGTATTCTCTGAATTCTCTGAATCTACTTTCTTACTAAACATTCTGCTTAACAATATCACTCACTCACTCATTCATTCATTCATTCATAGAGGGTTTTTTTTTGGTTTTTTTTTTTTTTTTTGAGTCAGAGAGACCTTGGTTAAAATCCCAATTCTTTTTTTTTTAATGCAATTAATCATTTTTATTTTTTTTTAAATCATTTTTTAAATTTATTTTCAGCATAACAGTATTCATTGTTTTTGTACCACACCCAGTGCTCCATGAAATCTGTGCCCTCTCTAATACCCACCACCTGGTTCCCCCAACCTCCCAAGCCCCCACACCTTACTACACACACACACACACACACACACACACACACACACACGCGGAAATTGGGGACCTTTTACTTAAGCTCTTTGTGCTTTCCTTTCTTCATTTGTTAATTGGGGTGATATCACCATCTTTTACAGTCATTGTATTAAGTGTTATTGGTAAAGGATCTGAAATCTAAGAATCTAGAGAAGTATTAGTTATGTTGTGCCTTCCACAGCTTCAATTATTAATATTACCAATGACTTACAGATATATATTCTTCTCCTGAAGGCTTTTCTGAATGCACGTCTTAATATTTAAAGTTGCTGACCTAACTGGTCTTACTGGATATCCTACCAGAATCTTACACTAGGTTTGCCTAAAACCAAATTAATGACTCCGGTAGCCCCCTTAAACATTGATTGTTTCTGACTTCTATATTCATATAAAGCTACCATTGTTTTTCTTTTCTTAAAATCTCAGTAAATTTTCGCTTTCACATTTCACATTCAGATACTTACTGATTACTTGATTAAGGTCTTTATTATATTCTTACCATTTCAGCCAATCAGGAAGGCAAATACATCTAATATTTTTAAATATTTCCTAACAGTAACTGTGAACTTAATGAAACTGTTCAAATAATGGCCATTATATCGAGTGGAGATTGCATATGCCCTTCATATCTTACACTACTATTCTGAGAATTAATTGATAGATGTGACTATATGGCAAGAATACAGTATAAATGCAGAGGCATAGTGATTAATTCAAAACTTTCATTTGCTAATGAGAGAAGCTGCAGTGTAAATTGGTTTAAAAAAAATCAAGGGTAGCAGTTCTTACTGGTTTATGTAATTACAAAGTATAGAGATAGAAATTTCCTCAAGTATGGTTGGGTCTAATACTCAAATGGTGTCATGTTGGCTCATTCTTTCCATCTGCCTCTCTTTGCTCTCCTTTCCTCTCTGTAGTTTTCATTTTCCAGGAGGAACCTCTAAAGGTGTTGTTACTGCCTTCTATAGCTACTGGTACAGATTTTTACTTTTTCAGTAAATCCAGTGGATTCAATTAAAACAAAACAAAAACCGAGATCTGATTGTCACTGGCTTTGACAAGCTTAGCTTCTTTGACATGACTACGCTGAAGCAATTTCTGTGTGAAAAGGAGTATGTGATGATATGATTGACTAGAACTAGGTTACAGGGCAAACTCTGGAGCAGAGTGTGAAGGTGAGAGGCGAAGGGTGAGTCTATACTAGACATATGGCTGATGTTGATAAAAGGCGGCATGGGTAGATGATAAGAAGTCAAAACAACAGATGACCAAGATAGGCTGTAATATTATCACCATTAGTTTTAAAAGTCAGAATTCTTTATTATATTCACACCATAGACATTAAAGTATAATTATGCATATCTTTATTTCTCATTTCAAATGTTTTTCACTTAATTTTATTTCATATTATCTGATCTAGCTGTGCTATTGGGAAGGAGTATAACTTGGTGGTTAGGAATTCAGGCCTTGGGCAGATTTGTTTTTGAAACTTTCTGACCTTGACCGCACTTTGTTTCTTTTCAATGTGGAAGTTATTTTATCTACTTAGTGTGAAATGCCTGAAATACAATATAAAGGAAATGATATTAAAAAAAAGTTTATACTTTTTAAAAAAGATTTTATTTATTTATTTGACAGAGACAGTGAGAGAGGGAACACAAGCAGGGAGAGTGAGAGAGGGAGAGGCAGGCTTCCCGCTGAGCAGGGGGCCCAAGGCAGGGCTCGATCCCAGGACCCTGTGATCATGACCTGAGCTGAAGGCACATGCTTAACGACTGAGCTACCCAGGTGCCCCCCCCAACCCCCAAATAAAAAAGCTTAAAACAGATATATTTGGGAAATAACTATATCAATTTTTATAAATGAAGGTACCAAAGGTCTGTATGGTAATAGTTTTATGTTTTTGGATTTCCCATTAGGAAATGTAATAATCCACCAGTGTGATACTGAGATATTAGAATGTTATAAATCGAGACATTGTCTTTAGATGTCTAGTATTTTCTTTAAATTCAGGATGGAATTATTTCTTCAAGTAAATTTTCCCCTCTAATTATACAGGCTTCACATGATAAATTCATAAACCATTGCATCTTTGAAACATAGGACTCAGAAGAGGCATGTAATTCAGAAGTCAGCAAATGTCTTGCTAAGAAGAACTTGCTATAATCTTCTCAGTGTATGGGCTTCAAAACACATAAGATTGCACAGGAGACATAAGATATATGGCAGTGTATTTTTGAGGATGTTATAAATCCAGGTGAAGAGGTAAAACATACCTGAAAAGATAAAACTCAGTGTAAAAACAGCAGATGCTCTTTATCAATGGGTAGACATTTTGGTTGGGCATGTGATTGTCAAAAGTTAGGTCAGGCTTATTGATTTATCAGTTTAAACATATAAAAATAAAGCCAAAATATTGGTCATAATTATGCCATTGTATTGATATGTCACTTCAGAATGTAAGAAACATTTTATGACTGAAATATATTAAAAATTATTATGTATTTATCAGTTTTTAGACACATTTAGCAAGGAAAAAATAAGAATTAGGAATTTCTACTAGAGATACAGTATTAATTTGGCAGCAAAGCGAGTGATAGGGAGAAAATATTTAATATTTTAGGAAGAAAACTATATTCTGAGCTCTGTGGTGGGAAAGAATCAGAGCTTTTCTCCTATTGATATATCTAAAATTCATCTTAATTTGGAAAATAAAGGTATGGATTTTGTTTTTTAGTTTAGTCTGATAGGTAACTAAATACCATGGAAAGAATAACTTTGCTAGGAAAACAGAAAAATCTATATGATCCAAAAAGAGTCTATACAATTTTCAAATAATTTGATCATAAATGTAGAGTGTTGAGATTAAAGCTGTGTGAAGCTTTATTAATAAAATGGTAATATTAAAGATAAATCCACATATCTAGCCACTCAGCATGTTACTCAAACCTATATATTTCTCAAATCACAGCTTCGTGAGCTGTATATAAAATTCAGATTCTGAAGAGAATAAAAGAGTACTGCTTCCATGATAGGTTATGCATTTTATTTTGTCCTTGCATTAGAAATGTGTTTGTTGAAATTCATGTACTTTGTACATACTGTGGCTCAGTATCTGAAGTGAAGGGATTTTATGCTCATTGTAAATTTAGAAATAAAGAGAAAAGAAATAAAGGAGGAGAGAAATAAAGAAAGGAGGAGAGAAATAATTTTCTTATTTTTTGTTCATTTTTCTGTTTTTATTTTATTTTATATAGAGAA